CCCCCCCTGGGCGCAGTCCGGTGCAGCCTGCTGTAGGTGACCCCGCTTCGGCAGGGGGGTTGGACTAGATGACCCACAGAGGTCCCTTCCAACCCCTACCATTCTGTGATTCTGTGATTCTGTGTATTTCTGAAAATATCTAAACTTAGTCTTCTCAACTATTTCAGTACTTAAGGCTCAAGTCATAGTCTTAGGCACCTGCTAATTCTGTTGAAATCACATTTTTCCCACAGACATTTAACTAATGATATCAAAAAACAGGACAAATTCAATACAAAAGATGTGGACATGAAATACCAGTACCACTTTGTGCTTCCAGCAAATAGTCTTGAGTGTTGTAAAAGTAGAAATATTTATGGGAGGAATCTCATCTCAACACGTCATTCTCTGAACAACACGCTGACCAAAGAAATCTAGAAACCCTACTTGTAACTTTCTTACCTGTTTCGATACTTTACCCCAAGTTTTCTTAAGTCTGTAGATTGCACTTCTGTTCAAGGCTGACGTGATTTCTAACACACCATTATAATTGTGCATACATCGACAAATATCAGCTACTGCTACCCACTTTTCAATTGAGTTAGCCCGGGAGCTGACATCAGCGTAATTCATGATTTGGGAGGCAACAAGGTTACTCATCTGACCAAACAAAGAGGAAGAAATTTAGGACATTTAAATATAATCACTTTCAACGTATAATTATCTAATGAACAAGGCAGAAAAAACTAATGCACAACAGAACTTCTGACTCTTAATAAAACCAGTGTATTGAGAACAGTGTTGTAGGGAAGTGTGTGTGTGGGGGGAATGATGGTTTGAAAGAAGAGTAAGAGATGCAATGGGGCGTATCTCCAAGTCAACAGTAATAAAACAGATTCAAAGTCTCTCAGAAAGATTCAAGGAAAATGGAAAAGAGCAAAGATATGGTTGGGGATGCAGAGGGCATTCATTAAATACAGTCGGTGTTATATTTTCACCCTTTGGAAAAAATTTAGTTTCTTCTATAAGCAACAAGGCATTGTAGTAGAGTTTCAAATGTTCTACTCTATTAGAAATGCTGAGTACCAGTTCTTAAAACAAGAATCTTCATGTGCTTTGATTTAAAAGGTTAACCATAAAAAGGCTGTAACATTCAGTCACTACTAGATAAGAAGTTACTTCTCATTGTAAAAAAAAGATATTTTTGTTCCAGAGGTCATAGACAGTGTCAACAGAGTTCCTACAATGCAATCTACATTTAAGAATACTCACATCATTAAAATGTTGACTAGTTTTCATAATATAGGGTGTTCTCTCATTTTTATCCACCTTCATCCAGCCCTGCCCAAGAAACTCTCTAGACATTGAGGGGAGAGAAAAAACCAAAAAATGCCCTTAATAAACATAGTAGAGAGTCCCTGTCTCTAACTGTAGCCTAAGTGGATTTCAAGTATACCTCATTTTTAGAAGCTAGTAACACAGCTTTACACTAATTCCAGTATTTCACTATACCACTATTAATGCTGTTTGAAGTAGTAAATATTATAAAGAAGATTTATTTTTCTTTTAATCCCCTCCCCCAATCCCCCCATCCTAATTTTCAGCATTGTGACCTTATTTGAAATTGGTCTTGTCAGCTTACGTGGTTATATCCATGTTAAATTGCTGGATGAATGAGTTGATTTGACACTCCCTCCCTAGAGACTCAGCACTTCCATATTATATTCACTCTTCACTAGCCCAGAGCCTTAGACCACAGTGTGTCTTTTTCTTAGCAAAGAACTCAGCCTTTCAAAACACGATCAAACTATAGGGGAGTCTGAGGCAATGACAGAAACAGCCGAAGGACATCACGCTGTTATGTATGCAAACCTTTTTATTAGTAGCATGAATTAGTGTAGTGCCCAACTCTGCCAGTCAGTAACTCATCCACCGCACTCACTTCAGTCACTCGCAGGAGAACACTTACTCATAGGGTATGCTTCGGAAAACTATGTGATCTAAAAGAGTTATTTGCTCTGCAAGCTCCATGGCTGATAAAGTCTCAAAGCACTCTGGTTTTGGACAATCTGACTGCAAAAATAAGGAGAACACTTAATCATGTCTTTTTGCATTAATGGACATTCCAAAGCACAAGGTATTAAGAACTTTGTACGAACTTTCAACACAGAGTTGTAATTAACTACTTTGCTACAAAGAAATAAGAACTAAGAAAAATTTCTAACAACATAAGGGTAAACACTATGCTGGAAGCTCACAGGAAAACAGGTATGTACCAAATCATGAGTATGTGTGTGGGCTAATTAAACTCTGTGCATTCTGCGCTACTTTCCACATAATCACTCTGCATCTAGTTCATTGCCCACAGTCTTCTTCAGGTCAATGCAATGCACTTACGAGATGGTGGTGACTACAGTTTGAAGGATGGGCATTGTCATTCAAGGCCAGCTATGGTTCTGATGATAGCTGAGATGGCAAATGCTTATGATTTCATATATATGAGTATCTTTCCCTTTTTCTTGGGAAAGATATTTAGGGTCTAAGGGTCTAGAGCACAAGTCTTATGAAGAGTGGCCAAGGGAGCTTGGATTGTTTAGTCTGCAGCAGGCTGAGGGGAGACCTTACCGCTCTCTGCAGCTACCTGAAAGGAGGCTGTAGTGAGGTGGGTGTTGGTCTCTTCTCCCAGCTATTCAGCGACAGGATGAGTTGCGTTAGGGGATACTTAGATTGCACGTTAGGAAAAATTTCTCTGCTGAAAGAGTGGTCAAGCATAGGACCAGGCTGCCCAGGGAACTGGTGGACTCACCATCCCTGGAGGTGTTCAAAAAATCTGCAGACGTGGCACTTTGGGACATGGTTTAGTAGGCATGGTGGTGTTGGGCTGACGGTTGGACTTGGTGATCTTACAGGTATTTTTCAACCTTAATGATTCTGTGATTCTATGATTCTTTCATCATGTGATTTAAATCCAGATCCTACAGTTCTGACCTGTTCATCTTTGAACACTATTTCTGTCCAGAGATGTAAAGCTGCAGTTGTGCTACATTTTATTGATTTACACCCACAACTTTTCTATAGGAGCGTTAATGTTTAAATTTCAGGATGAACTTACCATCTGAATGACATCCTCTATTTTTAAATGGGTATCATCTTGATCATCCTGAGAAAGAGCCCTGAAAAAATAAGTACCAGAACATCCTATATAAATAAAATTGGCCATGGTTATCAGAAAACCTTATCACAGATAGCCAATCATGTTATCTAAAATAAATCCAAAGACTGCAATTGAAGATGTAAAGAAAAAATAATCTGGTACCTAAAATCTAATGCCTTGTGTTAAACAAAAGTGTACAACATGGTGTGACATCAGAGTCATGTAAGATAAAATGATGGTCATGGAGACTTAAAATCTCTGCGCTAAGAAGAACATAAGCTGTAGAGTGGTCACTGACAATAACTACTCTACTTACTTGCTGATTATAGTGATGAGGTTTCTACACCTATCCCGCTTTGACTTTAGTGCAAAGAAATTTGGTGGACAAAGAAATATTCCCTTTTCAAGAACTGGACTGACAACACAATACCAATAATATTTAATCAGAACCTTTCTATCCTGAATAATTCTAGGAAACCTAAAGGTGAAAAATTACATCTCAAGCTTTTTCTCTGATTTTTAAATACTGTGCTAGATGATATTTTGGGGAAATATTTGAAAAATCAACATTTGAGAAGTGAAGAAAAGACAGCAAAATAGGCATGCATAAGAGTGGCTCACTATGAAGTGTTCTTGTTTATTGGCAATACGTTGTCCTATTCAGTGTTCCACACAAAGAACTGTGAGTGTGGAAACAGATAACAAACTACCAAACGATTTCACTTGTAGTAAGTACATCATTTGCTTTTAGTAATACAAGTGCTAATCTATACTTCCAATTCTGCTATAGAAAACCTGTATTCATCAAACCCCATCCACGCTGATGTAGTATCTTGGCACGTAACAGGCTGCCCAGGGAAATGGTGGGGTGTTCAAAAAACATGTAGATATGGCACTTCAGGCCACGGTTTAGCAGGCATGGTGGTGACGGGTTGACAGCTGGACTTGATGATCTTAGAGGTCTTTTCCAACCATAATGATTCTATGATTTTATAATTCTAAAATCTTATCCCTTTATTTGGAAAATATAGACTCAAAGAAACTTTTAACAGACTGAATTTATCTAATATAGGAAAGACAAGATTTAAGGAGAAAGAACAGTATGTCGGTATGTAACAGACTGGCTATAAAGACACTGATGATATGGCAAGAAGTCATTGGACTGATTCGCATCAGAGGAGATTCAGTTTCAACATTAAGTTCAATTTTCCAACTGCAAGTATGAATCAACACTGAAACAAGCTCTCTGCAGAAGCTGTAGAGTCTTCATTAGCTGAATTTTCAAGGAAAGGTTAGATTATCATTTGCAAAGAAGATCCAGTTCTACTGATCATTCCAGAAAGCACAGCAACTGGGCCAGGTATTTTCTCATGGTCCCTCCCATTCTTTATTTTTGCACTCAGTCATAAAGACTTTCCATGTACCATCTAGGGAAAGGGTTAAAAGAAAAGGTTTATATTGCCTGGAGACTTTAGCTGTGAGTGTTAAGATATGGAATTTGTACTATGTGGGTGGGGAGGAAGTGTTAATGCTTAGTACACTAGGTTCTTCTGTTGTGGGTTGCTGTTGTTTCCTTTTGGTTTGCCAAATTGGAGGACTAGGTTAAAATCAAATGCAGATGAACAGAGAAAGTATCTAAGAAAATTCCTTGCCTTCGTTTTCAACCTATCAAATCCACACAAAATGCCCCTTTCTTCACAGGAGTTGGAAACACCTTACTTCTGATGGGCAAGCCCTGCAAAGTCTTGAATGTCTACTTCTTCAGGAGAACCCTAAGATTCTTCTCCAGCTAGTAACGGTGTGCAGCCTCAGTAACTGTAAACAGATCGTCAGTCTGTCTTTCCTGATCAGTTTTTTGTGCTGTATCTCATGTCTGATTGCCTCCAGAAACATATTGTTCATCGTATGACAAGAACATGTGCTTGCTGGCAATAAAACAAAGAGAGGGCTTGCTCTTTTGCCCCAGGTATTCTCAGTAACCTTGTAAACTCCTCGTTTGAGTTTGTTACATGTAACATTATATTGGCTGGAGTTCTCATCTTTGATACAGAAATGATTGTATTTGCTTAATAGAGAATAAAATAGGAAACACAAGCTTCATAAAAGGCTGAAAATACTTAACTTTTCCCCATCTTTACTTCCTGATGCTCTCTAACATGACATGTCACATTTTGTGTAGACTTCAAATCCCTCATTCTGTAGATGTGAGTGGTGCTTTTTCTCTAACATCGCGGTTTCATGAAAAAAATTCTCCTTTTATCCATAAATGCTCTGGGTTAAAATCTGAAAAGGGCAACACATCTCTAGTCTGGATAAAGCTACTTTTTGATAGCATCAATAGTAGCTTTCAGTTCAGTCTGCACTGTTGTCAGCTTTGGGTTATTTATTTCAACAGAGGTCTAGGAAGATATGTTGAGCTGATCAGTTCTGCTTGGGCAGTTCCCACTGCACTCACTGGAGAGCCTCCTGGAAGCTGGGTAAGCGGCACAGGTCCATGTGAAAAGAGTTACGAGAGAAAGCAAAGGCAAGCAGAGATTCTGCAGGGCTGTTTAACGTATCCCTCTCAGGGAGGACTGAATGGGGTGACACCTCCATCGTTCTCCTTACAAATGAACGAAGTAAGTACGTGAGAAATAATTTTCTAATTCTCAGACTCAGCAGCTAATATTAGACCTGTCTCTCACTTAAGCTATTCTTCATGTTTGACCAGTCCAAATATTAAAATGATTTTCTGGTGGAAAGTATTAACATCTGTCTCTTTATTCCTTTACATAAAATATTTTTTAAATATTTTAAAAGCTGGTGTAAGTTATAGAGCCTGAAATCTATTGTCTGGTGAGATTATACAAGGCAGAAAATTGGTCATCCATCAAATTTCAACCTCTGCATATCCTCGTATTTCATTTATATTTATTCTGAGGAATAACAAGGAAGAATGACCTTTTTTTTTTCTCCAGTCAGGATATTTATCAAAGTTGTTCACTGCTGTTCAGTCTGAACTTTACACCTTCCTGCTTCACCATCAAAAAAGTTCTACCTAGATTTCAGGGGTTAGTAAATAAGGCTGATAAAATCTCAAGCAAAACATACCTCAGTAGGTTTGCCTAACTTTCGGCACAGATATTGAACAAAAAGAAAAAGAAGTATTTTTACCCTGCAGATAAACCCTGTCAGTCCATTCAACAAAAATCTCATCACATAAGAAATACCAGCTGTTCTATTTGATGACTCAAGCAGGCATGAAGCAGCTCAGTATCTCTCATAAACACTTTCCTTGCCATTCATATTCTACACAGAGTCTTTCCCAGAGCTGACCATGAGACCTCTGGAATACAAACCAACCTTTCCTCCTCCTCTAATCTCTGATAGCAAAGTGACTGATTTTCCAAGAAATTTATATGCACATATGCGCACATACACTCAAAGGCTGGGTCAGTTTGTAAAAACAGACATTTGTACCCCATACTTCAAGGAGACAGTCCATGGAATATACCCATACATAGGCTCAGAAAACATGAACTTTCTTTCATGAGTGTTTGAACTTTGAATTTATTGTAAGAACTTATTATCCTAACCTCACTCTGAATTCCTCTACTTTTCAGACTCAAGATTAGACCACGAAAATTCACATGCGGGGAAGCCAAGACCTAGTGAGGGCTGACTGGCAAACCAGAATTCTGACAGACTACATGTTTTGATATGCCAAGGCCTTTTAGATATAAAAGCCTGCAGCAAGCACCTCTTCATAACAACTAAAAGCCCTATTTTATTGCACTCATCTAGCAATTGCGTGAATGACTATTTTCATGAGGGGCATGTCAACTTCCTTCCCATTTTCATCCTGTCTGAGAAAAGCCTTTCGAATGCAAGTTTCATCAAAACTTCCAGCTATGACAAATCAGTGCTTTCACATTAAAAAATACACTGTCAAAAATCTTCCAACAAATTGATTTCTAATAACAGAAAAAAGCTCTTCAGTTCTAGGTGGGTAATTTATCTTCCTCCTCTAGTAGTATTAGACGAAGGTCCTCCATCTAGAAGAAAACCAAAAAGTTAACATCTTTCCAAGGAGATGGGTATGTGTTGGTGATGGACTGAGCAGCATTTCTCCAAACCAGACATTGGTACGTGAACCAACAGAGGAACACAATACCTGGGAGCACCTCTGCACATTTCTACAAGACTCTGGATAGCTTTAGGACATCCAGGGTGTGATTCACATCCTCTGCAAGTCACTGCCTGTGCTCTGTAATTGTCTGAGAAAGGCAGGTGTCTTCTATGATCTCTGAAGGAACAGTCAGGACACCTAACTTTAGACAGTTTTGGTGACAGAATCCACCAAAGGCATGCAGCATGCCAGTTACCTTGGAAGGAATGCTTCATTAGCTGTCTATACTTTGTTTTGTGGCTAGGGGCTTCCATTAGATACAGTGGGTCCCACCAAATAATTTCTTGTAAGCAGACTTAGAGAAGAAATCCCTTTCCCTTCACCCTGTCATTATAACCTACGGATGATTCAGGGAACTCAAGAAATAATTTTATTCCATTACAGGCCTTGTATTAACATTCAGAACATTGACTGTAATCTCTTATGTTGGAAAATGATAGAAAATCTGTAATCTGATGCAGAAAAAAAGAAAACAGTGATGTGAGAGATACACTCGTGTAGAACATGGTGCCTCTTCAAAACGTCTTAGTGCAATATGGGAGCGTTTGCTCAAAGCTTAACAGTTTGTGGTCACGAGGAACATAGTCTTGGTTGTCCCTGCTACAACAAATAGTAATCCTCAGAGAGAAGTAATAGAACTCTCCCATCTCAGGGAAGAGCATGTTCAATGTTTGCTTTGACCTACTTCCACAACCAGCCATGGCACCACAGGAGGCATCAGGCAAGAATGTCAGGTTAAGAACCATTCCCGTGTCACCATGTCCTCTTTTTGCACAGAAGTAGTATCTTTGGTTTTAGTGCAAATATAGAAAAAACTTTGTTCTTCTGACACTAGAAACCTCATTGCCAACTGGGTTCATACACTTACATCGTCAGACAGGATGCAGGCATGCGGATATTGCCTCTTCTACTTCTGTTGGTTTATCATTCTTCATTAAATCAGTTCCAGAATCGAGCAAGGACCTTTTCAACCTGTCAGAAAAGCTAAACCCTCCTGACAGAAACTATTCCACAGTTTTATATTTTGGATTACTAAAAAGTTAACTTTTCAAAGAGGAGTCTGGAGTTTGTTCCACCTCTGAATCCACTAACAAGCTGAGAATCTGGAGGACCAGAGGGATTGATGCCCCAGCAGCCGAGTTCCTGAGGCAGCCAGAAGCATGTGTGCACAGTCTCAACAGGACAGCAGGTCACTGCTTAGGACTAGGAAGTTGATAAGTATTTTTAAAGCTTATAAATATTCATATTTTAATAACGTGCAATAAAAATGAAGGCTTGTGTAAAGGAACATGCACCCCTATGTCACTACCACTCATACACAGTTATACACAAACAAGTACATTCGACTGCAGATTATTCCTTAAATTCTGTAGTTTCCATTTTCCAGTTAACTATATAGCCTTGCTGAGAGTGTGTATCTCTGGAAGTAACTACAGTGCTTTTTTAAAGCTTGAACACCACTCTCAATTACCAGACAACCCATTTTCCCGAGGATATTTAAGAACCAGACCTCATTTTTTAGTGAAAGGTTGAGATGTATGGCACGTTTGTGTATTTCACCCCAGCTGAATCACTTTAACAAGGTTACTGAAGCAGTTCCCATTCCTGATAATTAATTTCCCCTTACCAGCTGACTGCTAACAAATTTTACATGCCTGGCAAATAACTGCCTCCTGTATGGCTGGAGAACAAGTCCAAGTGCTTCAAATTACAGTTTTGCTCAGTACAAGACTTTGGGACAGTTTGCTTCATGCGATACATTTTTAACCTGGAGACTATGTCCTGATCTCCTGTTGACTGCAGCTTCACAACAGTTTAAATTATGAAAGTCACATTTATGCAACAACTCCTATCTGAAAGTTCATTTATGCCACAACTCATATCTGAAAGTTTATGGGCAGTTTATGTATGTAATAAACACACGGATAGGACACAGAAGTAATTTCAGCTGCTACTGAAATGTGGCTGCTACTGAGAATGGAACATGGCAGTTTTTTGAACCTTGGGACAGCAATACTGTGTCATTGATGCTTACTGGACTTCAGTGTTGAAATAGGATTTAAACTGTATTGAAATTTAATTGAAATTGAAATAGTATTGAAATATTCAACAAACAAGTTGTCCAGCATGCATATATGTTAGCAGCATTGCCAGTCTCGAAAAGCAATGAAGGATTTTTTTACAGCCAACGCTACCCAACGCTTGAATTTCATGCCTTGTTCTGAAGCACAGTGAGACATCCACGCAGCATTCAGTTCAAAAGTCTAGTCCCGCAATCCAAAAAAGAGCCATCAGTGGCTCTTTTTCCAGTGCTAGTTTGTGGGATGTAACCAAGTACTTATGACTCTGTATGACCAAATCTACAATCAGAACAAGTTGTTTGAAAAATCTGGCAGGATTAGGGTATACAGCTGCAAACCCTGATGAAAAATGGCTTGGCTGAGGACCGTATCTCAGGAAATCTTCATTCTCTACCTATTACCAACAGAAACTCAGTAAGAACTTTGGCACGTCATTCTATTTTATATTACTTGCCTGCTTCTAAAACACCATAATCCTTTCCAGAAACGCTGTCAGAATAATGACTATGACAGAAGGATTTAAAAAAATGCAATCTGTTTCTACAAAATATTTTAAATTAGTTTTTATTAACTTTTAATTCCATTTCTGTGCATACATTTTTTCATTTTTTACTGTTCTTGAGTATTGCTTTATTTCACTACTCCTTCCCTTTGCTATTTCTTTTCCCCATTTCTCAGTTTTTAAAAATTAACTTTTTCAGAATTTTCACTTCTTACAGCCTTTTTTTTCTTTTTTTTTGCCAGAGAAATAGAGTGTGAAAATTCACAGAATGGTAAAAAATTCAGTCTGAATTTTTGAAAAATTCTGAAAAATTTTTAATGGAAATATCTGATTAAATATATTCACTAGTATACACAGTGTGCTCAGACATTAGAGTAGTAAGCGCCAGAAGGGAAAAGAGGACAAACAATACCTCCCATTTCATAGAACAGCAGTAAAAGGATACAAATGGGGGCAACTTACAGTTTACATATAATTACCAAGGTCCCAATTTTTGATGCAACAGCTAATGGAAATTGGGTAATTGGAAACTGGACACAGGGAATTGCTAACGAACTTGGATGTTAAAGACCTACAAATCCATTACATTAATCTGCCAGGTTTATTTTCTCGTATTTGCTTAGGAAGCTAAAGGTCTTAAGGTAATTTTTCCCCCTGTTACCAGTCTGACAGAATTTTTGCTGTCACAGATATTATTAAAACCCATTATCCTAACCCTTTCTGCTCTTCTTGTTTGCTGTTTCTTCCAAGGAAATATAACATGAAACAAACATGCTATTTGCACTTGGAATACCAGCACATGCAGTATTACTAAAAAGGAGGTTTATTTTTATTTATGTAAAAATTAAGTAGGATCCCATTAACATGAAGTGCTTTTATCAAGAACTTCTCTTTGTTTCTTATCCTTTGTTTGACTTTCCCCCCCTCCCCTCCCAGCGAACAACTTTCCCCTCATTCTTTTCCCTGTAAGTATCTGATAGGGAAACCTGTCAAATGGTCTTAGAAAATTCAGGCACATTGCATTTATTGCACCCTTATTGGCTTTCCAGCAGAGTATCTACAAAAATACTAATAAAGCACATGGTAGATTTATCTGTATTTTTTCACTGTATCTTATTTTAACCACTGCCTAGTCTTTAAATGTTTAGTGCTCCTTAGTAGAACGTAGAACATAGAACATGAAAATCAGTGGCTCTAAAATAGTTGCACTTAGTAGATGGAAAATCAGTGGCTCTAAAATATTTGCACTTAGCAGACGGAATTATTTTCACTGATAAATGAGTATAAGGATTTGTCGTTTTGGCATGACTAGACACTCAACTCTGTAATACAAATCCTAAGTAACAAAATCAGGTGTTCTAACCCTAATTTAAATAGTCTAGGTTATGCAGAATCTTAAAGGTCTTATATTTCATGGTACTAATTAAACAAGAATTCCTCTCTGTAAGCTACCCAAAGAACTTTGGTCAGCACAGAGAAAGGTGCAAGCATGGTCTTAGGATGTCATGACATGTTAGGCTATCATCAGACTCTCGTGAGCTTAGCAGAGTGGATGGCTCAATACTGAGACAGAAGTTCCTCAAGGTATCATAGAGAGTGGTCTTGTTGCTTTACTGGGCAGCATTTTTCCCTGCTGCTTAAAGACTGAACCCACGGCTGCCAGCTGTTCTGCAGCAAAATTTTCTAATGTAGGTATTTTTATGTATGAAACACACTCTGCTTTATAGCTAATAAAAGAGTAATCCTTCAAAATTACATACCCTGGAGAGAAACCAAACACTGTGAATTCCATGATACATGATCCCCTAACTATTTCACATGCTATAGTTAACATACTACATTACTAGAAACCTATTTACCTCAGTATATTTGCAGTAGCTTTCCTTTCTTGCGGCAGAAGGTCAGGGTCTCTCAAAACTTCTTCCAGCAAATTTAACACATTCATTTTCAGCTCGTTGTTCAGCTCAAAATCCTACAAAGGAAAACAATTTTACTTCCTTTTGTCTTTAAAATGTTCATCAAATAGCTGAAAGGATATAGTTTCTGCATTTTGCCTTTTAAATAGTTGTGGTTTTTTTGCTATTAGGTTTGAAAATATTTAGAGAAACTTGGAAAGCTGTTGTAGTGAAGAGGCTGCAAAAGTGGGAGCCCGAAAGGCTGTGATTTATCTCCTTTTCTGACCTTTATCTTCTGTGTGGAAATGGGCAAATCGCTTAACCTTTCTCTTCTGAAATAAGAACCGCATCTCACCAATACCTACAAAATCTCGTACTCTCTCTTCTCCTGTGATGACTACACAAACAGAAAAACAGTTTCATTGCAATACTGAGGCCACTGCCTAGAGAGGCTGGACACTGTTTTTTTCCCATGAGTTTTCATTAGTTTCTTTGTATATTTGCCTCTCACTCCAGTATTTTTTATCTCATACTCACCCTTTTGAAAGGTCTGCTTTTTGTTCCACGTAGTGGAGTACTCAACCTAATATGCTCGAAAAATCAGACTACTGATCTCTGGCACTGAAGAGCTTTGGCATTTTAATTACTTCTGAGGCAGACTGGTATTTGACACAGGACTCCAGTTCAGGAATGGGAACATGCAAAAACTGTTTCTGTTGATCTCTGGCATCAGAGAAAATCAAAGAACAGAATAATGTACGAGCCTTAAGATGGTAATTTACAGGCAAGTCTTGGAGTAGACTCCAAAAATGCTTATATTTATCTCAAAGCTACCATTTTGGTAAGAAAACTAAACCTAAAACTTTCAGTCATCACATATCTTCCTTGATAACCCAGTTACTTGCAAACAGGACCATGTCTGTGGCAAGCCCCTGCTTGTTTCCATGGGAATGGAAGCCACAAAGTTACTGAAAATGGTAAATATTTGGCACCTCTGTGCAAAAGCTGCATATTTCGTTTTCCCGAAGAGCCAGCTGCAACAGCTTCTGTTGCAACAGGCTCCTAAATTGACAGGATTTCTAGAGATGCATACCTCAGGGGAGGATGACTGCTGGTGAAGACACATCCTCACGCCACGAGTTTCACTTGAGGGGATGCGGGAACACCAGAGCACACCCAAAGTCACAAAGCAAAATAATGTTTAATTCAGAAAAGGGATGAAACACTTACAATGAGGAGAAGAATGCATGTTCATCAAAGAAGGCGGTGTCACAGCCACACTTACAGCACTTTTTGAGAAAGGTTCTTGCTCAGAATGTCAGTGCTCAGAAGTACCCTGCTGTTGCCCGCCAGCAACGCCCCGGGCATTTCACTCCTGTTACAAGCATCCTCTTTTCATTCTTAAGAAATCTTCTCACCCTGGCTATGGCTAATTAATATTTTGAAACAATCAGTACGTGTGTCTTCATTTTTTGTGATGTTTGTCTGTATTAGAGTATGTTGGAGAACAGGAAGCCGTGTAGTATTAGGCTTTGGATGGGGTATCAGACATACACCTCAAAGCCAAGCAAAAATTAGTTCTGGGTACTGCACTGCGTTTCTCCTATAAAATACATTTCCTGTAGCCACTGTCTAAAATGCCTCCTTTAGGAAATGTTTTAGCCTGTTTGCAAAAGAAGACAGAAATTTTTATTTATTTATTTAGGGTATGGAAATGGGACTACTCAGTGAAAGCATGAGGAATGTAAATAAACTACATGAGAGTACTGTTCACTTCGGTGGTTTTTAAAAGAAACCCATTTGGTATTGTTATGGGTTTGTGTGACAAGGTTTTGGTAGCTCGGGGGCTATAGGGGTGGCTTCTGTGAGAAGCTGAGAGAAGCTTCCCCCATGTCTCATAAAGCCAGCGCCAGCCAGCTCTAAGACAGACCTGCCACTGGCCAAGGCCAAGTCAATCAGCGATGGTGGTAGTGCCTCTGAGATAACACAGTTAAGAATGAGAAATAAAAAAACTCTGGGGTAAAACTGCAGGGTAGAGGAGTGAGACACTGTGGGAGAAACAACTCTGCAGACACCAAGATCAGTGAAGGAGGGGGGGGAGGAGGTGCCCGAAATGTCAGCGCAGAGAGCCTTCCCTGCAACTCGTG